AGCAATAACCTACCCGTCGATAACTAGCTAGTACTTGACCAACTCTTTACAACAAAGCAGCGACCATGTTGACAATCTGGAGGAGTTGTTGGGGTAAAGATATCTGATGGAACAGCGTACTTGTAATCTGTTACAATACCAGAATGAAGCTAACTCAATCCCACCTGTAATTGCAATGAGTTGGGAATCTTCCCGACATGATTCCCTTCATTACTAGGGACCCTAACTGCAGTTGTTGAATCTGGTATGGACAACTCTTGCTCAGGTTAGTTTTAACATTTTGGCCATGCCATGTTTGGTGTTTCCCTCACCTTTAGCTTCTGGTGCAGTTGTCTGAGCTAGACAACCTCGATCAACCATTGTCTTATCACTTAAAAAAGTGTTTATGCCATCCATTTCTTTCAGATTGAAATTAAGAAACCTAATCCCATTATAGAATGAATTATGTGTGGTCTTAAAAACATACCCCACTAAAAAGTTTCAGGGCTAAAAGAATGGATTTGATTGGTAAAAACATCTTCTCCCAATGCCAGTTATAAAGGGTCATAATTTGACAACTCATAATCTTAAAAAGGGCATCCTAGGAGTTTAATCTTTCACTACATAGTTTAAGGCTACTTGGAGGCCCAACCAATTCATTTCTTTACATTCTTTAATAAAAAAAAGTTCTTCTTTCCTTTTTATGAACAAATAATGTTGATAACATTTCATAAACAAGCGAGATGTAGTGACATCTTTTAATGCAGTGAGTTGGTTTGAGGAACAATGATATATAGCTTAGGAATGGAAAAAACCATGCTACTTGTTTTAGAAAATTATTTTTTGATAGTATTGGAAAGGAAATTTGATCCCATCTCTTTTTGGTGTGAGAGAGATGCATTTTACCAATTGAACTACTAGTTTAGATGTCTTATGTTAAAAAGTTCAAGGTAATAAATTTAGTTGTAATTTTTTTTTTCTCCTTTAAAAGTAAGGATTCTATATTTGAGTCATGACATTTAAGTAAAACAAAAATACAAATTGGCAAGAACTCTTCCCATTATGCCACCCTCCAATTAAGTAGAGTAGTAACACATTAACACCTTTGCAAACTCCTGTTTGGTTTTTGGTCTTATGGGTAGCGTAGGGAGTTGGCCTTGGCTTCAGTTAGGAAATGGAAAAGATGGTGAAGCACTACCTTAATATGTATTTTCTTTTATGATGCTAAATTCGGGATTGGTGTCGGTGGGGTGATGAAAAAATTCAGTAACAAGATTTTTCAGCCGTACAGAGTGTAATTTAGAACGAACGTGAGGAAAGCAAAAGGACTACCCTTTAAATCTTCATCATTCTTTGGTCTCCTCAAAAGCATAGAGTCACTAAAGACACAAGAGTGCATGCCTTTCATCATCTTTTTTGAATGCCCTTTGCCCCACCTATAAATTAGGAAAATTGAAGACCTCTCAAGAATGAAGATCTTTTCTGGTCCAACTTCTGATTTTTCTCTTCCTCATTAAGGTAAAACCAAACCAACATTCCAAACAACAAGCAGTTTTTTAATTTCTTAAGGGTATACATTCAAGCGCTTAAGCAATATTAAATAATTAAGAGCCTGAAACAACTCAAAAAAATAAAAAATAAAAAATAAAACAAAAACAAAAAACTATCTTTATTCCTGTGTTATATAGCTAGTTGGGATGTCCAAACAAAGAAGGTGGCTGCACATTCAAAGAACAAAAACTAAAACTAAAGAGTTTGGCCTCTTTAAACGAGAAAATCTTATAGTCTAATAGGGATATTAAGTCACAAGTTCTCATGTAATATCTTGACTAATAGAAAGCTGGCATTTCAGCAAATTTAAAGACATATCAGCATGAAACTTGTGACATAACATGAGAGATTAATGAGATAACATACAATTTCTAACATGTTCCTAATTATGTAGAATCTGAAATCTCTGATGTGAGGTTCTTATTGGTTGAGGGTATCCCTTTTTCCTCTGAAACAACCTACCTTTGCTTGAAAACAAAGTCTTGACTTTTCTGTTTATAGACCCTGGGATTTGCTAAGGAATTTGCAAGTGCAATATGCGGTTATGGTTGGCAGGCATTTGCTTTCCAGATGGGTCTACTCTCATATCAAAATTCCTCCCTGCAGAAACCTTTAACATCATTTCCAGCCCACAATAATAACTTTAGTTATGATGGGTGCTTTACTTATGCGAAAAACATGGGAACTGTTTTCTTTCCCCTTTTTTTTTTTTTTTTTTTTTTTTTTTACTATGATGTGAGCATCCTTCATGTTATAATGTCAAAAGCCTAAAGCTACCCTTCAATACAGTTATGATTGATGCTGGAAATGGTGGATTCAAGGCTTTCTGGGCCACTGATGAAGAAATAACACCCTCCATGGTGGAGTAACTCTTTTTGTTGATCAGGGTCCCAAAATCATGATAAATTAACATTAAATTACAGGTTAATCTAGTAATTTGTAAAAAGAATCTTTACTAGTAGTCAACTTAACATATATTTCCCAAGTTCTTTTGATCATACTTCAAAAAATTTCTTTTGTCATGGAATGAGAGGTAGTCAGCTTAATATGAACTATGTCCTTTATGTTTTTTTAAAAAGGGGATTATTACTAGATTATAGAATCATTGGCTAAATCGCCCTCAAGAATCTGCCTTTAATCCAAGCACATTGCTATGTGTCTTACCAACCATTATCATCACTTTAAAACTGAAAATAAAATGGCTGAAAGGGACAACATGCCATTCGCTCAAATGGTGAAGCCTTCATCTCTTTGAGATGAAGAAACATGACTCTTTGGTACAATTAGAAAAGGAAATTGTATTGTAAATCAAAAGAAAAAAAATCTGGAAATCAATACAAAAGAAAGATGAAATGGGCATTTTGGAAACCCTAAAAACGATAAGATGATGCATGTTGGTGAATTATATGGTGTGGCTTGCCATTTTCACAGCATGAACCTGCACAATATCCCTACATCACACAAAGTGATGCCCACCACCTTAAATTGCAACCCATGAACACAATTATGCCCATCTGCCAGCATCAGCTTAGCTTTGTTGTCTTAACATGTGATGCTCCATCAAGAAAAAAGGCATACATTTTCACCCAAAAGATCCCACAATCCCACTTTAGCCACAAAAATTATTAACTACAAAGGTTATCTTGCTCCGTTTTGGCTTATAGTATTATGGTTTTAGACAATTGATTAATCCCCTTAAGAATTCTTAATGATTTGGGCATTTGGCAGCATTATGACAATTATACCTTTTGGGATCTCCATTTATGAAATGTAAATCATTTCTTAATTACTCATTGTTAATAAATTATTTTAAGCAATCTAATGGAAAGTGGAGAACTTTTTGATCTGTCCGGATGTACATGTCTGTGAAGAACATTGATGGCTCTGTTGGATTCCTCCTCTCATTCACATAAATTAGAGTCTTTTCCCTTTTCTCATCTCATTTTGATTCCCATCATGACTAAACCTTGGAATCTCTGCTTCAACAATAAGTTTTTATGATTTATAAGAGGTTGATTGAATTGACACAAACTAAATCAAAAGCTGTAATTAAAGTTAATGTTACGATTTATGAGAGATTCAAAATTTAATTATGTAAAATAAATATCTTTTAATATATAAAAAAGATTTTTTTTAACATGTATTCTAATAATATAATTATTACACTTTTTTTCTCATTAATTGTTATTGAAAAAATAAAAATTAATTTTTATTTAGATAATTGTTTAATTAAAATAGTTTATATAACCCTGATGATAAAATCAATGATAGTTTTTATATTTATTATTAATAATTAATGTAAAAAAATATAATAATACACTTTTAAACCTGTACCCTAAAAAAACAATGTATGTCAGCTTATTCAAACCAATGCAATTATTCAGTACCTAGATAAATTAATTACCATCCCATTACATGGTCACTGCAGTAAATTACATCTATGAATTCTGATCGATGTGGAGTGAAAATAAATGATTTTAGAGAAAATTAAATTCAAGGGCATTCCCCCAACTAGTTACGTTTTTCTGTGTGAGAAATAAAGTGGAACATAATACATGATTATCGAGTGGAGATTTTAATCGGTACATATATTAATTTACTAATCATTTTATTATTATCAAAAAAAAAAATTCAAGGGAACGGAGGGACTGAAAGTCACGCGCTACAAGTTGCTAATGGGGTCAGTGATTTAAAATTTTAACCGGGCGAAAGGGATTAGGCTCCTGACGCGTGGCAAGCTGATATTGAAACTTGTTCCAACTGCACAAACAAATAGGGCGCGTAACAATTATACCGTTTTGTTAGCCAGGTGGCGGCTTGTAATTCGCCTGTTTTAATTAAATGCTGTCCGGCGCCGTCGCCTATGTAAAAACCGTAGCCTAAGAAAAGATTTAAAAATGCCGGCGGATTGCATTTGGCAGAATGCCCGTGAAAGTGGGTCCCGATTATAAGGCCGCGCTTGGTGGACCTTCGGTTGTATCCGGACCTGTTACGTTTGGTAACGAACCAACGATTTGAATTTTTTGAACGTTGAAACTACTGGCTACTGTATGTACTGGTTTGTGATATTTTAATTTTGGAGGTTCCATGATTTCACTATTGTATGTAAAAATGTTGAGTCTATTTTTTATGAGTTAGACTATATTAAATTACAAAAGGGAACTTGATAATTTATAACATTAAGAGTTTACCTTAATTTAATAATTAATTTAACGTAATTTGACACACTTCAACTGCATTAAATATTTTATCTTTCTATTATGTGAATTTATTATGTTGAGGTAAACAAAAACAAAGAATTAGTTAGGCTACTAACAATTTAACTAACTTAGTAGTAATATAACTTTGGTAAAAATAAAATATCTTGGTTCGAAAATCTTAAGTATGAGTTTTATTTTTTATTTTTTTAAAATGTATATGAGTGTATAGTTGGTAAAGAGAAGAAAATTACTTTTTATTTTGTAACCTTTTTTTTAAAAAAAAAAAGTGAGAGAGAATGTTTTATGTCTTGTTTGATTTAGTTGTTCAAATACTAGCTAATAATCAATATCTAATCTCATTCACAAAAATTGTCTAATAATTAATAATCATTATTTATAATTCAAATATTTTTATTTATTCAATTAAAAACAACAACTACCAATTAATTACTCGCTAATAATGAATCCCAATATATATATATATACACGCACACACACAAACATGGCTCTAATAAGTAGAAGTGAGGGTAGCTAGGAGGATAAGCCCTTGGTTGCCTTACTTAGACCGCAAGGTCCAAAGGGTTGTAGTGGAATTTGGTTAAATGCTTTGATTAGCATCCAATAGAAGATAACCCAAAGTTGGTAACCGTTTTCAACAACAACTGCTGTTCCACTCACGGAAAGGGGCATATTGCCTACCATTTCCTCGGCCATTTTCAACTGTTATATATAGATATATATATTAGGAAGGAAACAAAGAGTGATTGCTTTCAAAACTTTTTACTTTCTCAAGTTTAGTTTTGGAATGTTTTGTACGAGTATGTGGCAAAGTGGTGTTTATTTTCTTCGCTTCCAAACTCAACAAAGACCAAGGAGATGAATAGATGAGGTTCTGCTATTGGTTTTTCTGACTTTTTTTGGTTAGTTTTTATAAAGTGTTGCTTTAAATTAACTTCCACATATTAAACTAAAATGAATATTGTGGTTCACATAGTAGCCTCTAACTACCTTCAGCTATGAGATAACGAGCAAGTGGCAAGCTATGCATTAGGGAGTACTGGTTACCCTGTAGATGATAATGAGGTTAAATCTTAATCAATATTATATGTGTTTGAAATTTTTACTGTCAATGATAAATTTTTAATTAGTAAAAATTTTAAATTTTATGTTTAATTTGTCCTTAATTATAAAAGAAAGGGTGATGAGGGATTAAAAAAATGGAAGAATTCTTATGTTATATAATTTTGAATTATTTTAACTTACATTTTTAAAATATAAGCTAAAAATATAATAAATATATACTTTTATTATAAACTTATGTTGAAAAAATAAAAATTTAATTCTTAATTTATCAATCATTTAATTAAATTTATTTACTTGACAATAATACTAAAATTAATATATATTTATAATTAAAAATTACTCTTAATCTATATTTTAAAAGTATCCTATATTTTAAAAATACATATAAAAAAAACCTTACAATCCATCACTAGATAAATTGAAAAATAGTTCTCTTACTAATTAGACCAATCTCTTGAGCTCTTTTATTAATTAATCAAACAATATTTTTTTGTAACAAGAAAGTTGAAATACTAACTTTTGAGGTGCATATGGTAATATCAAAATGGGACAACGATTCAATAACATGAAATGACCAATGAATGTAAGAAATCGTGGGAGCCTGATGATTTGTTGAGGGGTGGTGTTGGGTCCGGGGTCGGTTGATCTTGCAAGGCTCGTTTACTATTGTTATTATTATTATTATTGTTGTTGTTTTATTTTATTTATTTATTTTTAAGAATAAGAAACATGATGTTGCAAAGCTTTAATTTGCAATAATTGTGCAAGGTGACCATTAGGTTTAGTTTGAAATTGTGATATTACAGAGGACCCACTAATTATTTATTTATTTATTTATCAGCAGAGGACCCACTAATTCATTGAACATTTGAACTTAGAAAAAAAAAAGGATATATAGGTAGAAAGTGATGGCATTAAAATTTGAACATACCCTAATGTGACAATGTCCAACAGACAAATACACTTTTACATCCTCAATTTTGAATTTGAATTCTTTTAATTTTTTTTTTTTTTTTATGTAGAGTAGAGTTTTTAAAAATGATTTTAAACTTGAGATTGGAGGGATTTGTACTTAAAAAAGGAAAAATAATAATAAAAAAAAGTCAAATAGCAGTTATCACTAAACAATATATATGAATCTTTTTTCTTTTTTTTTTTTTTTTGGTTTTACTGGGGGTGTTTTTCAAAGGCTTATGAATCTAGCTATTATCACTTTTAGAAGATAAATTAAATGCAACTTTTTAAGATAGATGGTGCCCTAAATTTGGAGCTTCCAAAATCCCAAAGCTACTAAATGCATAGGATCTAAACATGACCCACTTGATAGGTGTAGATCAAGGTTTAAGATGTATCAAATGAGACATCATGTTCTTAATTAACTTGTCAGGAAAATGTCACTCCACCTTAATTGAAAAGGAAAAGGATTTTGGATTCAACTTTATATGATGTTGATTGTTATTATGTATTGTTCATATTAATCTTTAATTAACCAAAATGTTCAAACAAACATAAAAGCTATGGCGGCCCAAAAAGGTATAACAAAAATATTAAAATAATGTGTTTACCATGCCATAATGGTATGTTTAAATCGATAAAAACTCAAGACTTCATATTTAGAGGTTTTATATTTAAAACTTCAAAAATATGTAAATTTGTACTATAAAAGAAAGATATACAATATACATTAGATATATGCCAAAAAGATAATGGATTCATCATAATCATTACCGTACCTCCAATGTAAAAAATTAAATACCATAGTTCTTGATATTTTGGTTCAATGAAGTGTTAGCAACTCAAATAAATTTTTTTTTTTAATGAGAACAAGTTATACTTAATATACTTAATATCAAGTTCTAATACATATCATCAATCACTACAACATTACAAACCTATAATGCAAATAAATTACTAAACTACATATATTACAAAGTTTAAAAAATTAATATAAAAATGGACTACAACATCATACGGCACCACTACAAATTCAAACTTCAAAAATTCGATGGATTTAACTTACCATTTCTCACGTCTTTATTCATCTCTATCCTCTCATACTATATAACTTAAATTCAAGACTACTAAAAGAAAAATCTATTAAACATTTAGTACATCAATAAGAAAACTCATCATTAATAGTAATAAATTTATGTATTACATATTAAATTATACATTAAAATGTAGTCCATCATATAAATTTAGTAAAATATTTTTAATAAATAAAAAAAAGTACATATCAATTTTAATTTTAAAAAATAATTAGAGTCTCAATCTTAAATTATATATTTTTATTTAATTAAAATTCAATTTAAAATTTAAAAACCATCTTATTAAATGTCGATATATAAAAATAAATAATGAATTTTCAAAGTAAAATATTAACATTTAATAAAATAATATTTTAATTTTTCAGATGTAAATCAAGATTTCAATTGTTTTTTAAATCAGAACTGAAAAACACTAATATTATAAAATAATATAAAAAATAATTTTATTAAAAATATTTTAATAAATTCATAAAACAAACTACATTTTTAATATTCAATATGCTTAGTAAAACATTTTTTTTAATGATAATATTGTAATTTAATTTTGCACTTTGGGAAGATTATTAATGTACACGCGCTGGAAAGGCACCCGAGATGCGGCGGTGAAAGCAAAAGTAATTTTTGACAAAACAAAGGGGGTGGAGCCGGGAGGTTCGGAGAGAGGTTTGGAGTAGCAGTAGCTGTGGGGAAAGGGAAATTCAAAGGAAAGGAGTGAGGAGTAGTATAAAGCATGCTTTGGATAGAAAAGAAGCAAAAGGAGAAAAGGAAAAGGTCATGGACAATGTGATTATGCACCTCTAGAGCTTTACTGTATCATCATCCCTTCTTAAAAAAAAAAAGAAAAAAGAAAAAAGGAAATATCTATCCTCTCCAACGTCGCCGGAGTTCGTCTCCTTCGCCGTCTCTGTCTCTTTGGTTTCCTCTCTCTCTCAGGTGTAATCTCCGATTTTTTTTGATGGTGGAGCTGTGAGATTTGTGTTTTTTTTTTTTTGAGGGAGTTTCTGGTGAGAGAGAAATGGCGGCAGAAGAGGGAGGATTGTCGTTTTCAGTGGCGTCGGT